ACGAGCCCAAGTTTTTGAGAATTTAGCAAATCCAAATATCAAATGACGTTCATTAACCAGCACAGTCAAATCTGGGCCCAACTTAGAATGGCCTGTGCCCGCTATAGCCACCATGGGGGAGTGGGTGAGGCCTATGTCAATTAATGAGAACTGATTGAGTTTATTGGGAACCCGAATAAGTTGGGCATCCTCTACCAGGGTTCGTGTGAGGATTTGTTAGGACTTCATGATAACTTGCATTGATGAAGAAGGAAAAATTGGGATTTTTTTTTTTTTTTGGTATAAATCATCTGGTATCCGAAAACTCACTAAGCCACCGATTAATTCGGATTCAAATCAGGTAGGACCCAATTGGTGACAAAACTCTCTCTCACGAGTTTTAACGGAATTGCATTCTCAAGATTTGAAACCAATACCTTTAATTAAGTTGTAAGAGTCTCGTGCCAACTCATTCACCTACTCATGGGTAAAAATTGGGATTTTTAAGACTAAGGAATTAGTAATTCGACAGCAATTCAGGAATGAACCTGAGGGGTTTTGATTAGGATTGTACTCACTTTTCAGTAGCTTCATTGATGTAGGGAAGTAAAGTGCAGAATACTAGTAATATTTACCAAGGTCTAGCAATGTAAATTTTGGTAAGGGATAGTTGGATAGATTTGCAAACAGATTAAACAGGAGGCGAGAAAAGAAGAGAATATATAGAGCACGTCCGAATTAGCAGGCAATGCCAAACCTTTGTGGGGCGTTTGGTTGGGTCTTGGGAATGGGAGTTTTCCCACTTACCCTTTACTCATATTCTTTAGAACTATTCATCAAAAAAATATTCTTTAGAACCATTTATATATTTTCAGACATTAATAATACAATAAAAAAGAAGTTGAAAATGTTATTTTTAGTCTTTATTTCTACGTTAAATGAAAAAGTTTTTCCCAGACTTTCTTATGTGAGAGTCAATAATTTTCCTACCTTCTTTATTTTATAATAATAAATGTTTATTTTATTTTATTTTTATATATATTAAGGATTTGAGGATATTTTTTATTTTTACTTACATTATTCCTAAAAATAAAAAAAAGACTTAAATTACAATATAATAGATAATTCAAGTAGAAATAATAATAATAAAGTTAAAGTTAAAAAAGAGCCTCATTTAAAATACGAAAAAAAGACTATTATTATTCTGGACAAATTCTAAATCAAAAAATATCTTCTATTATAGGACAAAAGAGTACATACTTTGTCATATATCAATTTCTTATTAAACACTAAGAAAAAAAATAACAATCCAATAAAATTATAACAAAACTTTATTACAAAACATATCAACTTTTCATATTATACCATCTAACATTCCATTAAATATTTTCCTAATAAAATTACTCTCTAACCAATCAATCAGGCACCTTCCCTATTCTGAGTATTCTAACTAGCGGAGTAGCATTGTTATTAATGAGTTTTAGGCCAGTAGTAACCAGGTAGCAAACCATCAGAATCTCAACCCACACTAGCAAGGATTTCCTTCGGTATCATGAATAAAAATGTAGAGTCCTGAAATATACGGAACCACATTCCTTTCTGTATTTACTTCTAATCTACTATGTAATACACACATCAGCAGAAACAGAGATGCAGACTGCAGAGGCAGGAATTCCGGAGGCAAATCAGACAAGGCTCAGCCAGGCAATCTTCAATCAAAGTATCAATCACGCGGGCAATTCAATCACTTCAACAATGAGAAAGTCTAAAAATCTCCTATTTTCAATTTTACAGGCACCAGTTGGTAATTCTACTTCACAAAAGAATGCACAATATGACTCCTGAGTGTAAATTGCTAAATGAGGATGATCCTTGACATAAACCATAACCATAGACCATCCCTGATCCCTCCTTCCCCTTACCATCAGAAACTGATTCTTCTACTTAGATTTATAAAAAGAACTGTAAAAATCTCCCTGAAAGCAATATTATCCCTTTTGATTAAAGCAGCATACTTTCTCTAAATGAAAATGATCTTCATCCTGAGAAACAGTTTAAGCATATAAATTAACTCCCTTCAAAGTTAAAAAGTTTTGCATTTCAGTTGAATCCCCATGAAAATTAAAGCCATCGACATATGCTCTACAGAACTAAAGGCTTATCCAAACTTACATCAATACAATGTTCTAAATGATCATCTTGTAAATGCAAGCAAAGCAATCAATGACCAAAATAGAACTGGTAAGGGGACTTTCAAGCATCATCAATCAAGACAAGAAACTTAAAACACATAGATTCAAACTTTTGCGTTCAATCACATTGCTTGCTTTCTAACTCAATTCATCAGTAGCATCAAAACATACTCTCTGAAGTCTCAAATTCAGCCATTCACACGACACATCAACATTTGACAAACATCCGACTAGAACACAATACTAACATTTATTCCTCAGCAGAAACAGCATAAAACATTTCCATAGTTTTAAGTGCAGGATACAGACTGTTCAATACCAAATCACAATTATTTACATACGTATCTATACCGCCGTGACTAGTCCATAAGGCAATCAGTAATCACCATAAAGATGGTCGCTGTAATCATCCTTCTCCCTGGAAGTGACTTCGTGCTCAGCTCTGTCAGCAATCTTCTCTTCTTCATACTTCAACCCCTCTTCCAGTGCCAGTCCACCTAATGCCCCTGCCAGGCCACCCACAGCTAGTCCAGTCCCAAACCCCATCTTCGAGCCACTTCTGGGCTTCTCATAAGGTGAGTAATCCACAGGCGCCGATGGCCCTCCGAAGGTCCCAGATCGCTCGTAAAAGGGCCGCGGTGGCAATGGAGGTGGCGGCGACACATAGTAGTGCCCCGAGTAATAGGGAGAGTACCCTTCGGGAATCGTGCTATATGGAACTGCAGGAGGCGGCAGAGGAGGGGACATGGAAGGAGGAGGTGGTGGTGGAGGAGGAGCGTAGGGAGAAGGGGAGTATCGCGGAGGGGCATTGGCATAATAATAGCTAGAAGTAGGGGCATAATGGTAATCTGGCGGTGGTGGCAACGGCCGTTCCCTCAGTGCGAGTTTCACACGGATCTTTCCCTGGGGGCGGCCAGAGGGGCGGAGGAGGGGGTAAGTGCGGATCCGGGTCAAATCTTCCGGGTCAGGAAGGTCCTTGAGTTCCACACGGAGGGTTGCGACCAAGGGTTTCGGAGTCTCGGAAGGCTTGGAGTGGAAGATCTCGAGGGTGAGTACAGCATCGTGGAGCGGGACGGTGAGGGGCAGCGTGAACCGCTCGTTCCAGACGGGCCGAGTCGATCCGGAATCATCGGAGCGAGTAGAGAGGCGGCGTTCCGGATCGATCCAGAAGACAGCGTAGGGTTTGAGGTCGCCGTTCCGCCAGTTGACGTTCTTGATGTGCTTGGCGGAGATGATCGTTAATTCTACGTTGAGAGCCTTCGACGGCGGGGGTCGAGATAAGGTTGCCATGTGAAGCTAACGTACACAGAGATGCTACAAGGCCGAGGAGAAATGAAAGTGAGGGTCACCGCCTTGAAAAGAGGAGAAAGAGGTGGATAATGAAATTACTCTTCTAACCTTATGGGCCATGGCCCAATTACTAATTAGGGTGAAGGGACGCATCAGCACTAATAAACATTTATTATTGTTTTTTAATTTTTAATGTTAAGTTCTTATATATATATTTGAAAATAAGCCATTATTAAGATCTAATGTTGAGGTTATTATCACATTTTAATTTAATTGGTAAATGTCATATTTTTTTAATATAATTATTTATTATATTTTTATATCACATTTTTTTAAATATATATATTTTTAAAGAATTAAAGTGTATAATAATTAATTAAAATAAAAAAATATGACATTAATAATTAAATTTTTCGTAATAACATTACCCAAGATCTGGTAATTGATTAGGAATATCACTGTTAGTTGGCCCTTCAACTTGATTCTCTTTCACATTTCAACCACTGATCTTTTTTTATAGGTTAATAAAGTGAATTTAACTCCATTTTTTTTTCCCTACTAATTTGACCCAGAGTTAATTTGGAATGCTCGTGAGTATATTTGCCCATGCTTCGTTTATCCTCTTGTCCTGCCAACTTCTTTAGTTATCTTTATTTTATTAATATTTTTTAAATTTAATATAAATTTTGCATGAATTTAATAAGAAAAATCTTGCCTTACAAAATGTGAGATTCACTCTTTTTTTTTTTTATGGAATTAATGCAACCTTTTAGTTTATAATTACCATATAATTATTATGTAAGTATTTTTTTATACATCAAATAATAAATTATATAATAAAGCTTAACTATTCATTTCTTAAAATTCTTTTTTTTCTTCTTAAAACTCTTTTTTTTCTTCTTTAAACCTCTCCTTACTCATATAAAGATTTGAACTTAATGCCTTATATAAAAAAAATTTAAGTTCTTAATCACTAAACATCATCTAAAAGACCTTAAAAGCATGTTTCACATAAAAAATTAACTTCTTTAGTTGTTTTTTATTTTTATTTTTTATATGTAACACTTAATCACAAATAGTGAAGAACCTATTTTAAGTGGTTATCTTGTCTTTGAAAAAGTTTTATATAAAGGGGATTAATTGCACTCAAAACTAATAGCTCAATTGATAATATGTACATTCTCCTATAAATAGATTAATTTTGAACCCCCCACTTTGAATGTTAAAATTTATTAATTTTACTTATAGATCCTAATCACTCTTTGGGGGTAAATAGTAAATACTGATGAAGAAGTCATAACCACCTTCTCACACTTACTTTACAATAGTGGGGCTTTGGCAATTGGCAACATTTCCACCCATGGAATGTTAAAAAATCTTTCAATATTTTTAAATTATGCATGAAAGGATAAAAATAAAATTAACATAATTGCTGTCATTTACACTTAATTTTGTTAGGTATATACCTCCTCCTCATACCATAGTATTCTACAAAACAACACTTAAATTTTTTATATACATTTAATGATGATATATGCAGCTCTCTCTTTCTTAAATATTTTTTTAGTCATCTTAAATTTTAAATTTAAAACTTTTAATATATAAACTTAAATTTTAAACTATTAAAACGTCCCCTAGAAACCAAATCAATGGTATTTAGGAAATACCTGCGATTTGGGCAGGTGAAAATTTTCAAAAGACTTATTCAACATTGAATACACTTTTACGCACTAAACCAATAACTTTGTAAAAAGCTAAGGGCACCATGAAGCACAGCACGCGGTCCAACTCCAAGTAACTGAAAAAGCGCCACCAAAAGGGCAGACACGGTATTCCGTCTCCCCGGAAAGCAAACAAATACAGATACGGTAGTCTAGTTACAGTTTAGTTTTTCTGAGGAAACTGAATTGAATTGATGGTTTTCTTCTGATTGTTGATCTGCAGGTGAATACTCGTCAACAGACAGAACGACATCTCAAGAAAGAGAAGAGGAAACTTGGAACCATTGAACAATTGTGCCAGGTTTATTTTCCTTTCCTCTTCCTCTTCTTTTGGTTAATTACATATTGTTATCATAATTGCAGTAGATTTTCAGTTCTCACCTTAAGTCTTTATTGATGTTTGCTTTGACTATTGTTTAGCATATTATCTGAATTTTCCACTATAATGGTTTAGAAAAACTTAAAAATGGAAATATCTGTTTGACTTAATGTTCTTAGCTTAACGGAATATGTTAACTGTTTTGTTCGTTTGAATTTAAAAGGTTGTGTTGTTCAAAGGTCGTAAAACAGGTAGGATGGGAACGTTTGTCTGGAGGCTTGATGCCATCTTTGGTCGGTACAGCTCCATCCCAGGTGAGATTTTCCTTTACGATTTATTGTGAGTTGAAATCTGCTTATGATATTTTTCCTGTTCCTTTCTTGTAGGTAGCTCATATTAACATCAATATTATCTCCATTTGGTTAGCTAGAAGAATAGGAATTAGCCCAGTGAATAGAAGGATAGATCAGTATATATCTAATTTATCTAATATTTGGAACTTGTCTTTGCTTTTCCTATAATGTTTCAAATTTGAGGTTAAATAAGGTGAGGATAATGACCTGGAAATTCTCACTCTTTTTTAGGGTAAATATCTTATAGATAGAAAAGACTGTGAACAACATTCTCGTTTTTACCCTAACTTGAGTTTATTTGATATAGTCATAGTGCTTTGTTTTCCAAAACAGTTGGGTGATGAAAAATAGGTTCGATGCTTGTGGCTTGCATAAACTGGCTTTCAGTTGAGGTAAATGAGAGTGTAAATTTATATGATCCTCTTTAGTTATTCTTTATTTATTTATTTATTTATCTTATAACTCACTTCTCTCATGGTACAGGGTGTTTACTATTCTTTCTATCAAATGTTCAGAAACAAAGCTGAAGCAACTGCCCTTGAACGCAAGAGGAGAGGGATTGGTGATGGATCAGTTGGGATGTTTTCCTCACTTGTTGTGGCTGCTATGGCAGGGTATATACGCATTAATTGTTAGTGATTCTTATTTATTCTATAATTTTGAACTTTGATATGGTTTATTATTACCTTTAAGACCACCTGGCCATCAGAGTTTCATGGTAGACATGATAGCCAATCAATAGCGGGGCCATTAATTTCAATGATATGGTTAATACACAAGTATATCTTCTGTACTTTTATCTTCCAATGCCCTGCTGTGAGCATTACTTTCCAAGTCTCTTTGTATGTTAGAAATTTCCCACTTTCTGTTTGTCAGGCTTGCTTCCTACTCAGAATGCATTTTTCTTTGCTCTTTCTTATTCATGTCATGTGACATTATGATATATGCTTGATCCTTTCTTTCTGTAGGTGTGTAAATCAGTAAATGTGCTGTTGACAAACCCCATTTGGTTGGTTGTAACCCGGATGCAGGTAAAATGCTTAGTTTAAGTTCCATAGTTTTTGTGATTCTCTGGAAACTTGGAAGTAATTCAAGGTTTCATATTTATATTGTTATTTTTTTGTGTGGTGAATGTTATACAAGAGTTAATTTATGTGCAAAAGATGAAGAGCCCTTTCAGAAATCTCTTGATAATACCTGATTTCTTATTGGAAAAATACTACTCCTTGACTTATAAAGCTTGACAGTTCCACAGCTAATTTTATATAAGAAAGATGTGATCCTCTGTTAAGAGTCTACATGTTTGCTCACTTTAGTTTAATTAAAAAAATTCTTGTTGTGCAGACTCATTCAAAGATCTCAAAGAAATCGACATCACAGTCTAATTAGCCACTGTCACCAGCTGCGGATGAAACGGTTCTTTCTGTAGTTGAGCCTATTTCTTATGGGACTAGCCATGTGGTATGTAAAATTGTTCTTCGTATTTGGGTCATCTTGTAGTTTCAAATTTGAAGCTATTATCCTGTCTTCGTCCAAGGCTATAGTTAAAGGTGCAGTTTCAAAATCTGGATATAATGAAAAATTATGCTTTTTCTTCAATGGATAACCATAAACTTATTTTACTTGTTCATGATATTACTTGTACTTGTTTGATTGCAGTAACAAAGGGTTGAAATAGCGTTACTATCAGCAACCTATCATCTGGAAAAATTATCATATTGTTTTTTTTTTTTTGGGCCCAAATTATCACATTGTTTTTGTAAGGGCTTTATTTGATTGCATTTGCTTGGTAAAAACTTGTATACTATTCACAAATATTTCGAGATTTAGAGTAGTTTTTTTTTTTAAGTATATTTATAACTGTAGGTTTCTTTGCAAGTCAGTGTTTCTTAATACTTTGTTGACCTAAACAAAAATGCAAGTTTTTGGCATTCTTTGACATGTCAAATGTTTACAGATTCAAGAAGTCTATGATGAAGCTGGATTTTGGGCTTCTGGAAAGGTGTATTTCCAACATTGATCATGGTATGTGACAAGTGACTACTTTATATGCTAAGTGAGTATCATTGATTATTCCACTTGATTCTACAGGTGAGCAATCCCTCCATACAATTTATGCTTTATGAAACAATGTTGAAGAAGTTGAAGAAAAGACGTTCTCTCCTTAAGCAGGGTAACAATGGAGTGACTGCTTTGGAGGTTAGCCCTGAGTTCTTGTTGTGAGGATTTCCATCTGTGCCACTAATTATGTTTGTCTTCATTGCTCGGATATTGTGTTCATCCCCTCTGGATGCATTTTCCTTTTCTAATAATTGTAGCTGAATGAGTTAACTACTGTGGCTAGATATTTTTTCTGGGAGCTTTTGCAAAACTTGGAGCCACTGTTGTGACATATCCACTTCTTGTTGTAAAGGTATGATATGTCTAAGTACAATCTTGAATAATCAACTTACTTTTACATCCACCTTCACCTACTCTCGCTCCTCCCTCACGTACAACCCTCCCAGAGCTGGCTAGAAAAAATCACTGCACTTGAAACCAGTGGAATAGAAACTTTGGACTACATTTAACTGGTATAGGGAGAAAATTTTTAAAATTTGTATGACAAAGGAGTTCAAAGTAAAATGTTTTTGCCTTCCAAAATTATGAAGATTCAGTTGCTCTCGTGTTGGTTATGAGTTATGACAACCTTGCATCTGCCATTAGAAAAATTTTTCGTTATGCTATATGTAGATTGATTCTAATTTTCTGCATGACTGGTTCTAATTCCTCATTGATTGTTTTGCCTTTCAGTCAAGGCTACAAGCAAAACAAGTTACAACTGGCGATGAAAGGCATCATTACAAAGGTTGATTCCAATTGTTCTTGGTCTGATCTATGACAGAGACTTGTAAGAGAAGCCGGTTAACCACAACCGTCCCAGGATAACTGGATAGATACCTTTTACTTTGCACCCATCATTGTTCTAATGTTCCATGTTCATTTATGTTTCAATATATATAGGAACGTCAGATGCTATCCTCAAGATGATCCACTATGAAGGTTTTTCTGGCTTCTACAAAGGCATGTGCACAAAAATTGTACAGAGTGTTCTTGCAGCTCCTGTTTTATTCATGGTAAAGGAAGAACTGGTAAGGGGTGCTCGGTTTCTACTCACCCCAAGTACAATGAAATCAATGTCTCCTTAACTGAAGCTTTATCCCTCTTTCTCTCACCCAACACCCCATCCTCCATTATTTCAACACTAGTGGGGTGTAGCTTAGTCAAATTATATTCCAAATGGATGCCACCAGAAAATAAAAAGGATATAAAGAGAATTGTCATTGAAATGAATTAATCAATTTTTTCTAGATTTCGTCTGCATAAATCCATTTTTTTTAAAATTTGAACATGCTAACTATAGAGAAATACATTGCAAACGTATGTGAACTGAACTTTGAGGTTTCAACTTAACTTTCAAATTCTTCATTTCAAGGAAGAGAAATACATTTTTTGCCCAATAAAGTAATAATGTTAGGCAAGTTCTATATAAATGACACAGTGAACTATTCAAACTTCAAACAGTAGTCTCCACTTAAAAATGGCATGGTGGACTGTTTTCAATCTTCAAACCATAGTCTCAACTCAATTTTTTTAAAAATGAAAGTACTGCTTAATTATTTACTGTCAACGTACATTCATGCATGAAGTGGTGGTGACTGGTGAAGTGAAGAACTGTCCTGCAACTAGCATTACTGTCTATCGTGCTAACTACTACTACCACTATTATAATGATAATTATTATTATTGTACTCAACTACCAACCTCAGACCTGAGACCTTCTCAAAAGTCCTGATCAAACTCATCTTAGTATTCCTTTTAATTATAAAAATTTATTTAATAATTTATTAGACTTCTGTGATTGATACTGACGGCCATACCACGATATTTTCTCTAAGAATACATCTGGCTAAAAAAAATATAAAAAGGAAATAAAAAAATATTATGTACTTTAATTTTCCTTTATTTTCTTTCTTTCTTTCTTTTTTTCTTTTTTTTACTTAAATAATTAAATATATTTTTTAAAAAAATCACCTAATTCCCATTTACTCCCTTTCAATTTTTTGGTTAAAATATCTTACCTTCTTGACAATGACGGAGCCAGGGTGTGAGGGGAGGCGCTCGCCCCCTTGAAATTTGAAAATCTTATAAATTAATAAATAATTAGTATATAAAAAATTATTTAACTCTCTTAAACTTTAAAAATTTTAGGATCTTATCCCTTGAAGAAAATTTCTACCTCCACCCCCTGCTTCTAGACTTAATGATTTTATTATCTTAATAGAATACATTTTAATCCTTTATATTTGAATTCAATTTTCCTCACCTTGAATTTGTAATTTATTTTTAAAAAAATGAATAAATTTTTTTTCTCATTTTCTCCTTTTTCTTTTCTCTCCTTTATCATCTAAACCCAAATTAACCCAAATATGGTATAAAAAAATAATACGTAATTCAAGAAATCAATAATTTTCATGGATCCCAAAATTTCTCTGTCCCTTTCATCACCGACCCCAACTCTAAACATTGCCACATCGGCCATCGCTATCAAACACTAAAACAAAGCACATTCCATACAGCATCAGCTTCGTTGCCAGCATATTCGCCTTTCACCAAATCCTCCCCTTTCGGTGAATGCTGATGTGCCTCCTCCCATAACGTCAGATTGAGTTGGCATTACGAATCCGGGGCCCAGTAGGAAGCAAGCTGACATGGCCTTTTTTTGCCAATCATGCACGGATCTAACCTGACAAAAAAAAATCATATTCTATAAAGTTGCTTCAGGTCCGCCTGTTATTCCTTACTATTACCACGACAAATTTCCCGCAGGAGATATTTCTTTCCATCTAAAACCGTCGCTCTCTTTCTTGGTCCTAGGGAATCGCGATACGAGCCATTCAATCTCAACGTCGCTTTTGTTTCAGAATCTGAGGAGGAACTGAAACTTTAGTGTTTCGACTTTTGCAATTCATTTGGTTTTGAGATAAATTTCATCGATTCGCGAATGACTAACGCTAGAAAACAAGAATCTGTTGACGATCAATCCAACGGTGAAGATTTCCCCGACACATCGGACACCTCATCTGTCGGTGCGCTCTCTTCCAGCGGCATCGAGTCCTCTAGCGTTGGATCTGGGAGCGTTTCGGGAGAGAATGGTACTGTCAGGGCCGGAGCTGGACTTACGGAGCGATTGGCCGATATTCTTGTGGACGATGGTGACGGAGACTTGTTGCTTCAGCAAAGCGACCGTGAGGATAGGGTTCTGCAGTGGCTACAAGCTCTGGATATGCAAGTGATGGGAGCTTGTCGAGTAGACGAGAGGCTAAAGCCTTTGTTGAAGGTTAACGTTTCTAGCGGCGTTACCGAGGATCGGTTGTTGGCTCATTTGAGTCAGGTACGTGTTAGACATTTTGTTATCTTATTATGTTGGAGAGATGAGATGCTCGAATTCTCTTTGGTTTGCTTCCATAACTGGAGGCTTGTTTTGAAA